TAGCTCGGCAGACGTTCGGCAGACGCTCTTTAGCTCGGCAGACGTTCGGCAGACGCTCTTTAGCTCGGCAGACGCTCTTTAGCTCGGCAGACGTTCGGCAGACGCTCTTTAGCTCGGCAGACGTTCACTAGACGCTCTTTAGCTCGGCAGACGTTCACTAGACGCTCTTTAGCTCGGCAGACGTTCACTAGACGCTCTTTAGTTCGACAGACGTTCACTAGACGCTCTTTAGTTCGGTAGACGTTCTGACTGAACTCTGATCAAAGAGACAAAGATCCTATGAGCAACAGAAGAAGAAGAAATCAGCTGGAAGCTTAGATTTAAACAGGAACCGCTTCCCGTTTCAAGAGTTTCACAGTAAAAGTAGCCTAGAACAAGCTGGAGTTAACTTTATCACAGTAGAAACAGAAGGTTAGTCTAGAGTTAAATTGTTGGAACATCAGCTGGACTTCTATCAATATTTACTGATCAATAATCAAAGTGATTCTAGATAGACGTCGACTACAAAAGGTGGAAGACATTAAAAACAAACCTTTCGGTGCGTTTTGCTGTGCAAGTGTGTGAAATAATCAAACATGGAACCAGAGGTGACGTTACAGTTTTTGCACCAGTGGTTTCCAGCGTCGTAGTATTCAAACGGCTCCGGGGGCGGAGTCGGAGGGGCGTCGGCTGACGGCTCGTCCGGAGACGCTCTCGACGACAGCACCGCCGCCGCTGAGGTCTGCTAAGAAACAAAGATGGAGGAGAGTCAACGCGGCGGGAGACAAGTGGACACGGTCAGGATTCAGTCAAACTACAAACAGTTCTGTCGTTAAATGTGGAATGTTAAAAGTTTCTTACCTTCAGTGCACTCCGGCCTCAGAGACGCTACTCAACGAGAGAGAATCTGACAGTCGCTTTGATATCGATTGGAACTTCTAACTCGCTTCACAGTTTACAGTAAACTTTCTGTCATCATCACTGAAGCTGATGAGAAACAAACCTCTGAGCTATCTGTGTTCAAACAAGATCAAGACGATCTTGATTATTCCGACCCGAGAGACGACGAACACCACTCCTCAAATAACATCCTGTTCTTCCAGGTTTCTTTTTTAAAATCAATCGCAGTTAAACTACCGTCAATAAAACTCAACACTTCCTACAGAGAACACTTCAGAGTAAAAGCCTGTCGGTGGCTTTCATGACAGGCTTTTAATGTGAAGCAAAGTAGAAAGAGTTTCTACTGAGGAATAAAGCTAAACTCAGCAGGTGAGACCTCATAGATCAGGTTACCCGCTTGTTATCTGACAATGAATCAATCACAGCTCAGTAACAGAATATTTAGCAGTTAATCAGCTAAATGGACCACGTCAGGAGCCCTAGCTATGACTCAGAAGTACTTCCTGTTTTACCTCCTCTGTAGGTGTTTGTACCTTTATGGTGGAGCTGCTGGCGGCCGGCGGGCCCTCAGGACTGCTCTGCGCCTCACATTTCTTCTTCTCTGGCGGCGACTCGTCCTCCTCGTCCTCCGGCGGTTTGACGGTCCTGCGGGGCCGGTCGGATGGGATCAGGCCGAGGATGAGCGCTATCTTCTCGATCTCGTTGCGTTTCTTCTCAGCGGCCTCATGCTCTTTCCGCAGGTTGGAGATCTGAGCCATGACCTCCTCCTGCAGGTGGCTGATCTCCTGCAGCAGAGGGTCTTTGTGGCCGCCCTTCTCCCGCCGCTTCTTCCTCAGGAGCTCCCCTGAAAAAACACACCCTCCTCTCCGTCAGCTGTACTGTGTCTCCAGGGGGACAAAGGTGACGAAGGGCACGCGTGAACTCACCTTGTTGCTTCCTGAGCCTCTCCAGCTCCTTCATCAGATACTCTTTCTTCTTCATCCGGACATCTCTCTCCTGCTTCAGCTTCTCTCTCTCCTCCAGAACCTGAACACAGCACACAAACAGGATGTCAGTCGGGGTTCTCCTCTCCAGGGTTTCAACTACCGTTCACTGAACATCATGGAGTGGAGGAGACACCTTTTGTTTCTGGCTCTCGTTGTTCTGCTCTTCAGACACTCTGCTGACTTTTCCCTTCTCACCGACCGGAGCAGAATTCTTCACCGAACCTGACGACAAAACAAACAAACAAGAGTTACATCAACTAATCCGACCACGACTTCCTGTCACCTCTTCTTCTGGTTCTGACCAACAAGCTGAACTTTGCTGTAATACTTGACAGACCTTTGGCCCCCGGCTCTGGGGCCAGTTTGTTGTAGGGGTGTTTGTAGGGTAGAGTGGGGGTGAACTCATCTGGGCCGGTTTGGGGGGGCAGGGCCATGTTGGGGGGCGGGTACATTGGCGGCCACTGCTGGTGCATGTAGGGAAGGTAGTTTCCGTACTGGCTGTAACCCGGCGGGGGGAAGTTGGGGGGCATCATGCCGTGGACCTGTGAGGGGGGGTAGGGAGGTATGGGGACACCGGGGTGAGCAGGCAGGACGTTGGCGTCGGGGGTTTGTGGCACCAGCTCTTTGTGTGGCGGCGGCGCTGCAACGCTTGGCCCGGCGATCGACTCTTTGACGTCTTTGTGAGATTTGGGCGGCGCTGAGCTCTTCCTGCCGCCACCACCACTGCTCCAGCTGCCCCCCCGCCCGCGGCTGCGACTCCGGCTGCTGCTGCTGGAGCTACTGCTGCGGCTCCGCCTCCTGCGGCCCCGGCTGCCGTCCGAACTGCCGGAGGAGTACCGCCTGCTGCGCGTGGGCGTCTTTGGAGGCGGCTTGTTTCCGTGGAGACGCTCTTTGGTCCTGGCGGCCATCTTGCTGATCTCGGTCACGCCCAAGTCCAGACCAATGGTCTTCAGCAAGTCCTGGATCTTCTCGTACTCCTCCAGTGCCTGGCGCTCGCCCTCCTCCAGCGGCTCCATCCCCGGCAGTAAAGCAGAGTTCAGCACCTGGACCGTGATGTTGCGGTCGGGGCTGATGGAGGGCTGGCTCGCGTACCTCACATCCACCTCCCCCGTAGTGGGAGGGGCCTGAAGGTGAGGCGAGGCCCCCGGCGGAAGGCCGTATGTCTGAGCGATGACGTGTTTCTGTTGGGGGTAGTCTCCGTACAGAGCCTCCTCCGTCACGTCTCCGTACAGATCCAGTCCGTGGTGTCGGATTGGCTCGGACGTCAGCGGAGGTTTGGGCTCCTCCGAGTCTCCGTACAGGAACTTCTCCTCGTCGTCGATGTCGTCCGCCTTCTCCTGAGGCTTGGCCCCCGCCGGTCCCCCCAGGAGATTGAGGATCTCTTTGATCTCGGCGTCAAGGCCGGTGCGGTGAGCCATCTGAGGGTCGGACCGCAGCTCTGACAGCATGGAGGCCACCATGTGAGGCTCCATGCCCTTCACAGCCTGCAGCAGCTGGTCAGCCACCCGGGAAATGTTGGAGCCCTCTGGACCTCGGGGGGAGTCGGTGGTCTGGAACACAGAGAGACAGAGCAGAGTGACGCCTTTGGACCACAGACCATCTTCATGACTAGAACTTTTTATTGAATGAGACAATATATTTAGTAGTTTTAACCGGCATCATTATAAACAGATCAGTTTAGGAACACTCCATTCTGCGATGTGTTTTTTAGGGGTTTAGGTTGTTGCTGTGCAGCTTACCCTGAGTGACGGCGAGTCCTCGGAGCCGTTGCGTTTCTTCAGGATGGATTTTGTCGGCAGACTCAGCATCTCCTCCAGCTCCTTCCTGCGTCGAGCCGTCTCCAGCTCTTTGAAGCCTTTTCCTGACTTGTCATCACTGTCGTCTCTGCTGCTCGAGCTCGAGCTGCTGCTACTCGCACTGCGACTCCTCTGTCTGCTCTTACTGCGTCCGTGGCTCCGCCCTCTGGACCGAGATCTAGACCTGCTGCGGGGACGGCTCTTGCTCCTGCCCCGGCTCTTGGCCTGGCTCTGATCCGGACTGCGGCTCTTGGCCCTGCTCTGGGCCCGGCTCCAGTCCGGACTGCGGCTCTTACTCCGGCTCCGACCCCGGCTCTTGGCCCGGCTCCGGACCGGACTGCGGCTCTTGCTCCGGCTCCAGCCCCGGCTCTTGGCCCGGCTCCGGTCCGGACTGCGGCTCTGGCTGCGGGGCCGGCTCTTGCTCCTCACCTGACTCTTGCTCCGTCCCTGATTCTTGGCCCGGCTGCGGTCGGGACTGCGGCTGCGAGGTCGGCTGCGAGGTCGGCTCCGGCTCCGCTCGTACTCGGGTCGAGGAGGGTAGTCTCTGTACAGACACACGAGATTGAGATTGAACAAACGTGTCGTGAAAACTGATAGGTGTTCACATCTCCATCCATCAGTAGTCTCATGAGCCAATAAGAATTCTGTTTCCACCAGTACCTGTCATGATGGCGTGAAGGGGCGGAGCCAGATGGTCCAGTCAGCTCGTTGCCCACGGTGATGACAAGGTTGTGGTCGATGGGACCCGACCCTCGAGGTGATGGAGACCTCTGCGACACACAACGATAAAATATATTTATGTCTCGTGGCTTCCTCAGACAGGAACGCCCGATTACCTGTGACAGTGGCAACCATTTTGAGAAATAGGCAACCAATTTCTCACATAGAAAGATAAAGTGCGAAACATGCACCTCAAAACAGATATATTCTTAGTATTTGTTCCATCAGAGATGTTTACGGTTGCTGTTCTAGTCCGAACCAGAACTAAGCGTGACGTCACGTGACTCGACGGGGCTCGGCGCCACGTCACGTGACTCGACGGGGCTCGGCGCCACGTCACGTGACTCGACGGGGCTCGGCGCCACGTCACGTGACTCGACGGGGCTCGGCGCCAC